CATTTTTTAAAATGGTGGATTTTTGTTAGTTCAAGGCAAAGTTTGAATAGTCATATCTGTGAAACCATTGGATAAAATTTTGGGAATGTTCATAATTTATTAAAATCTTTGAGTGGTGTAAAAATCAGCAATATCTGAGACTCAAGGTTGCATTTTATAAAAAAATTAGATGCTTTCACATGGAATTGCCCAATACTAAACTTTTTCATGAAAATTCAATACAGTTTAATAAATTAAAGTAAAAAATATAAATATGTGATTATTTAAAATCAAACATCTGATTTTTATGATTTTAGAGCTGAAAAGTGTTTTTAGTGATTTTAGAAGTGAAAAGTGTAAATCTGATTTTATCATCAGGAAAGATTTTGAATTATATAAGTATTTAAATTCTTTAGTATTTTAAAACTAAAAATTTTAAAATACTTAAAAAAGACTTTTTTACTATTATTATATTATTGTTCATCATATTTTATATTATAATTTTTATCATTAGATAAATTTAAAAGTTAAGAAACTTATTTAAATTGATAGCTTTTAAATGAAAGTTAAATGAAAGTTTTTGAAATTTTAATAACTTTTAATTGAAAAACTTGGTTGGGTTGCCAATTTCCTTCAAATATGTTTGTTAAAAGAACTTTTGTTGCAATATGCTACTTTAATTTAAATAAGTAACTAAGGCATTTATTAGGCAGAGTATGGTTCTTTCACCACACAAGGGCAGCAACTAAATTTAATTGGCATATTTAAATATCTAGTAAATTAGGTATTTAAATTAAAAAAAATGTATTTAAATACAAAAATTACTTTTTTTTTTAAAAATTTACAAATATACATTAAATATCAATGTAAATATTGTATTTGTAAATTAAAAAAAATTAATTCTTGTTTTTATAAATAATGGTTAATAATTAATATAATGGTTAACAATACTTTAGTATTATTTAATTATCTTCTTTTATGTTTTACGCAAATATAACATAGATAATATGTTTCATTGCAAGTTTTACTTTTGATTTTTTTGTTTTTATTTATTTTTGATTTTTTTGTTTTTATTTATTTTACCAGCTAATTTACTTTACTGAAAGTATTAATAGATCTTTTATGATAAAAGCATTATTAACTTATTTTATAGTATAATATTTATTAATATGCAAGTTTCTTTGTAACTTTCCTAACTCAAGATAAACAGAAAAAATGTAAATAAAGAATTATTGAATAATGAAAGAAATTAATAAAATAATTTATTAAACATATTGAAAAATCTTAACTAGATAATAACTGACGTCAATAAAAGTTAAAAATAGTTTTTATCAACTTTTAAATGAATGATCTTGTTAATGTTAATGACGCTTGTTAATAATGACACATTTTTACACACAAAAAAAATTGATCAACATAATTGATTTCCTTGTCGTGCGTACTAATTGTATTTTTTACTTGTCTAGCGCGACACTTTAAATCTGAGACTGATTTTATTATTATTTTTTTTTACTATGATCTTATGAATCTTTGGGAATTTTAAACCAATTGTGAATACCATGTTATACACAGTGCCATCAGGCTGGCTTACACCCTGGATTCTATATTCCAATGTACCGTCAGCCCTGAGGCCTGTAGAACACTGTGAAGGCATTCCTGTGCCCGTTCCTCCTACTCAACTGGATGATATTAAAAGTGATAACAGCTCAAGTTCTGAAGACAGTAGTGATGTTCTTGATCCTGATTTTAATGCAGATGTCACATAAAAACTTTTTATTTAGGAAGATTTTGATGATCTAGTTGAAGATATTAACCTTCCAAAGTCATTAGCTGAACTGCTTGCATCCCGTTTACAAGAACGAAACCTTCTCACTCCTGATACTAGCATAAGTGTGTACAGATATCGTGAGACAGAATTCGTACCAGCACAAGTGGAGATGTGTGGAGATTTAAAGGTCATCGCCATCATATTAGGACTCCTAGGAGGGTATTCAAAGTTTCCATGCTTTTGTGCCTTTAGGATAGCAGAGCAGACTTTAAGCATTATGCCAAAAAAGTATGGCCAGCGAGAGAAGGATTTACTCCAGGAAGCCACAGTGTCAAGTTACAGCCTTTAGTAGAAGCACATTGAGTTCTCCTCCCACCACTCCATATAAAATTAGGGATAATATAATCTTTTGTCAAGAATATGGACCATACTGGCTCTGGATTTCACTATTTGTCAGACAAATTTCCACATTTAAGTGAAGTGAAATTTACTGCAGGTATCTTTGTTGGACCACAGATCAGAGAAATAATGAATGATGAGGAGTTTTTGTCTAAATAGGCAACTGTTGAATTGCAAGCCTGGAAAGCCTTTAAAGATGTTGTCAATAATTTCTTAGGAAACATTAAATCAGACAATTAAAAAAGTCTTGTTGAGACCATGGTAGCCAAATTTCAGTTTCACTTTTTGGACTCCCTCGTTGACTACTTTCCTGAAAATTTTGGTGCATACAGTGAAGAGCAGGGTGAAAAGTTCCATCAGGACATTTGTGCAATTCAGAGTTAATACCAATGTTGTTGGAATGTGAATATGATGGATGGCTATTGCTGGTCATTAAAATGCCATAATCCTGGTGCTGCTCATATGCAAAAATCATTCAAAAGACAATTCACACAGTAGAAGACAAATTATAAATGTATATCTGCTTTTATATTATGCTTTTGTTATTAATTTTGTAAATACCAATAGTTTTCTACATGACCGAAGTGCATTTTGTTGCTGGTTTTATTAACTTTTTTCTACATTAGCAAATGTCGAACTGCAAAAATTCATAATGTGATACAAAAAATTTGATTACATATTTGAAATCAGCATAAAAAGTTGTGTAAGAAACACCTACTTGTATATCAGCAATTTTCAAAATGAAAATTTGTAGACCAGTGTTACTCATTACAGTTAACTTAGTAAGTAAAACTTGTTCAGTTGAGTAATAAAAATTTAATAATACTTGGAAATAAAAAAATCAGATTATGATTCTAAGTTTCCTCATCTAATTTATCTACTAATGAGATACATTTATCTACTAATGAGATAGATTTATCTACTAATGAGATACATTTATCTACTAATGAGATAGATTTATCTACTAATGAGATACATTTATCTACTAATGAGATAGATTTATCTACTAATGAGATACATTTATTTACTAATGAGATACATTTATCTACTAATGAGATTCATTTATCTACTAATGAGATACATTTATCTACTAATGAGATAGATTTATCTACTAATGAGATACATTTATCTACTAATGAGATAGATTTATCTACTAATGAGATACATTTATCTACTAATGAGATACATTTATCTACTAATGAGATTCATTTATCTACTAATGAGATACATTTGACAATGTTTTTTATTTCTGTTTTAGGAAAGCCCACAATCTAATTCATATATTCAATAAATTACTCAAGACAATTAAAAAAAAAAAAAAAAGAGCCTATACATCTGCATTTTTATAAGTCAACTGACCCTGGTAAAATTTTAATAAATTTTTGAAATTTGGGATCAGATGTTATAAAATTACCAAGAAAACAAAAAAGAAAGGCGCTCACAACAAAAAGAACAGTTAGTTGTTGCTGACTTGCTTTTTTTTTTTTCATCTATCCTTTTATTTCTTTAATCAGTAGTAATTAAAGGAACAAAAGGATGGATGGGAATTTTTATCCAAATGTAATAAATGATAGGGGAAGGAGGAGGGGGGAGGAAGGAAGGAAGGAAGGAAGGAAGAGAATAGAAGGAAGGGGAACGTAGGCTCAATAAACAAGTGAATGGGAGTTTTTTTTTCCCCTTAAGTAAGTTTATATTTTCTAATTTTAAAGACCTAAAGGAGAAAATAATAACAGAATTTTAGAAATTCAGAAATTTGAAAATAATAACAGAATTTTTTTTTAGATTTAAGGTACAGTTTGTTTGTTTATGACAAGTAAAATTTAACAAATGGGGGAGAGGGTTTCGATAAACTCAGAGTGGGTGAGAAAATTTTTCGAAAATTATTAAACATCAACATCTGTGTATTAAGCACTTAAGAGTATATCAGTCAAGAGCTTTTTTGACTTTTTGGGACTCCGCATCCCTGAATAAAATTTAATAAATGGGGGGGGAGGGGGTCTTAATAAGCACAGTGTGGTTGGGAAAATTAATAACCATCAATTGCTGTGTATTAAGTATTTATAAATGATAATTTAAATTAAGAGAAAAAAAGTCAGTTCGCAGTTTCGACCACCTTTTTTTTCCTTTGATTTTTCATAATTCTTTTTTTTTAATTAACAAATTGAAATAAATTTGACAAATTTTTTTGTTTTTTTGTTTTAAGAAAAGACCTCTATCCAATTCTTTATAATAACTCTAACTCAAACATTCAGGATGACATCTACAACTCAAACATTCAGGATGACATCTACAACTCAAACATTCAGGATGACATCTATAAAAAAATAAAAATAAGATCAAGCTACATCGGCATTTTTGTAATTAAACTTGCCCCAGTAAAATTGCAATAAAGGCCAAAACTACAAGTATTATGTTTATATATTTTAAGTTGTTTTATTGGATTCCTTGCCTCAAAATAGTATATGTACACATTTTCAGCTTTTCATTGCACAAAGAACAAAAACAATGACCAAAACCATTTTTTTAAAATACGGATTTTTGTTGGTTCAAGGCAAAGTTTGAATAATCATATCTTTGAACCGTTTGGAATTAGATAATAAAATTTTAAGAATGTTCATAACTTATTAAAATCTTTGAGTGGCGTAAAAATCAGCCCTATTACTAAATAGTAGGCTTTAATAGCCAATTTATTTGTTCATACATTTTAACTTTAACATATGTTGGTCAAACTTTCAACGGTGATTTCACACCCAGATTTGTTTCTGTTTTATTTTTTTTTTATCAACTGGAAAATAACTTGTTTTAATAGTGAATTTTTAATAAAATTTTAAAATAAACAATAATTTATTTTTAGTTTAATAAAAATGTGGCATAATGCCTCTCACCGAAGCCATCAAAGATCGAATGTTGATGTAAGATTTTTATTTTATATATATATATATATATATATATATATATATATATATATATATATATATATATATATATATATATATATATATATATATATATATATATATATATATATATACATATACATATATTAGGGTGGTCCATAAAACAACTTTTTTGAGAAAAACCTGCTGACACCCCCTAAATGTGTTTTATCTAATGCAAAAACACTAGGTTTAAAATTTTTTTGAACAAAAATTATTTTTAGGGGTAGCTCAAGGCCCTCAAAAATTTGACGGGTCCCTAATATTTTGAAAAAAAAACTTTTTCTAAAGTATGTCAACCTGGTACTCAAAATAAGCAAAATTATATAAAAAATTTAAAAATGATAATAATTTTTTATAAAAATAATTTTTTTAGGTATAAATGCATAAAAACTATTGTTTTTAAGCTGAAAATAAAAAAAGTCAATATTTTAAGTTTTTTTGAGAATAATTTTTTTCAGGCATGTTTTTTATGTAAAATGATTATTATTTTTGAAGTTTTTATACAATATCGCTTCTTTTGAGTACCAGGTTGACATACTTTAGAAAAAGTTTTTTTTTCAAAATATTAGGGACCCGTCAAATTTTTGAGGGCCTTGAGCTACCCCTAAAAATAATTTTTGTTCAAAAAAATTTTAAACCTAGTGTTTTTGCATTAGATAAAACACATTTAGGGGGTGTCAGCAGGTTTTTCTCAAAAAAGTTGTTTTATGGACCACCCTAACATATATATACATACATACATATATATATATATATATAATATATATATATATATATATATATATATATATATATATATATATATATATATATATATATATATATATATATATTTACATAAATCAGGGGCTATTCTAGACTGTTTTCAATAGCGTCGACCGTATTAGGGTGCCAATTGTGCCGCCCAAATTATTATTTGAGGACTTTTTTGCAAAAAAAACCCCGCCAATTTTCCGCTAAAGTTTGCCGGAACAAGGGGGTAACGCTGCCCAAATGTTTTTTCTAGAATAGGCCCTGTTAGTATGTATGTATGTTTATGAATAATTTTGAGTGCTGAATATTTTTAAAAGAACAGAGAAATATGTATGTATGTATGCATGCATGTATGTATGTATGTTTGTATGTATGTATGTATGTATGTATGTATGTATGTATGTATGTATGTATGTATGTATGTATGTATGTATGTATGTATGTATGTATGTATATGTGTATGTATGTATGTATGTATGTACGTATGTATGTATGCAGGCCTTGTGATGAATAAAAAATGCTTAATGCATCATGAGTTTTTGTTGTCATAAAATTTTTTTTATTTGCTTTTTCTAATTATTGACATTAACTTTTTTGAACTACCACTTTTATTTATTTAATTACTGCAAAACTAGTTTAGTTGAATAATTAACAACATAGAAATGTTATTATGTAATAAAGTTATTGAATGGTTACTTATAAAAACTTATAAAAATGGTTACTTATAATGAATGGTTAAATATAAAAGCATTTGCTTATTTTCTCAATATTTGACACAATCACAGGCCTACAAATAGGAGGCATGGGGTCGCATGTCATATATAACCATGCATAAAATACATTGTTTCGACAACTTGGCCACAACTCTTTTCAAGTTTTAATAATTAGCTCTTTTAAAAAAGATGCTTAAAAAAAGCAAACTTAAACTAAAGTAAACAATCCATAATCTAAAAAGAGAAAAAAAATCTAAAAAATATTAATACAAAAATTAAACTAAAAAAATAAAAATTTCAAAGAATAATAAAATAATTGGAAGAAAAACCAGAAAAATTTTAAACATTTATCATTTAATGTAAACTTAATTGTAAACGAAAGTTTAAAAAAAATTATCAATCTTTATCACTCTCTCCCATGAATAAATAAGCTAATACAAGAGCGGATCCATAGTGAGGCGGAGGGCCATAAAGATGTATACCTCCCTCCCCCTCCTTCAGATTCTTTTATTTATTTTTAATAAAAAAGGGTATTTAACTCAGCACAATGTTTAAAAACATAAGTAAGTTAAGGTGTTTAAAAGTGCCATGAAATTTAATAAAATTTTGTGGTGCAAATTTTAAATTATATCAAAAAGTTAATAGGATACAATAGGTGCAACAAATTGGCAAACTTGTGCACGTTTGTTAAAAAAAAAAATACAGAAAAGCAAATGTCATGTTTTTTAATTTATGCTAACATAAGCGTTTGATTAAGATTTTTCAAAACGAACATATTACTTCAGCAATATTCTTTCTAAATAATTTTGCGATTTATACTTTTTTATTTATTATAAAAAACACATACTTAAAATAAAAAACAATTAATTTATGAGACTTAAAAAAACCATGTCAAAACATGATTACTTTTTTCAATAATATGTATGTATGCTATTAAAAAAAGTAATTA